AGTAGTAGTAGTAGTAGTAGTTGAACGTGGTTGCAGGTAGTGATACAGGCAGACAGTGTAGAAGTGAAGTAGTAGTTGGGGTCGGGGTGTAGGTGGTAGCTAGTAGGCGGTAATGGTAGTTGTGGTCGCGGTAGGCGGCTGTAGTGGTGGTTGAAGAAACGCTGTAGTTGTGGTGGTGGTGGTGGTNNGGTGGTCGTGGTGGTGGTGGCGGTAGCAGTAGCAACGGCAGCAGTACTGCGACCTTCCGCTGCTAGGGTTCTTCATTCTCAGGCATGTACAGACTTCTGTGCCACCCCTGCTCTTCCACACAGCCCCCGGCATAGGATTATATACTTCGATCCGCTTTGGCTTTCTGCAGGTGCGTTCCATTCAGGCTGTAGAATTGACATAAGGGCTCTTGCACAGACTCCCGCCGGCAGCTGTCAAACCTCGTGTTTGCAGCCGTGTGGCATCTTCGAATGTAGGCCCTTCTGCGACTCCTCCACTTTGGGAGGAGCAGCTTGCCGCCTCATTCAACTCAACGTTGTGTCTCGTTGCGATGTGCCGATAGTATCCGCCGCATATCTCGAAAACCGCATCTACTCTTTCAGGGAGTGGTTCGTTAAATATTCACACAGCCGCAACATGAAGCCACTCATATTATACCAGCGAGGCTGTTAGACTCCAGAAAACGACCCACCTAGGCCCAGAGCCTATGCCGCAAAGCCAACGGTGAAACTATATAATGGGTCATATATATATATATGTATATAGTACTACACTATCATAAACCATAATATACCTAAAGCAAACTATAATGTACAATAGCACACTAAGACTGAAGGGCCCAGGGTGCAACGGAAAGCCCAAGCAACAAGATCCTCAGAGACGCCTACGAAGCCTTGGGTAGCGAACCGCGAACCGTTTTATGGGAGATCTTTAGGGGTTTAGGGGTTTAGGGGTTAAGGTTTCAGACGTGAGTTGTACAAGGGTTTCGGGTATATTTTTCCCTCTCGCATGGCAGAGAACTTTGCTGACCGGCGAGGTTGAATAGGAGGGTTGATAGGGTTTGGGGTTTGTAGGGTTGAAGGCTTCGGGCGTGTGGGTAGCCAGGACGAAGCCCGCACTGCGGGGTACAGTCGAAAGCAAAGTAGATCCTCCGAGTTACTGCTGACCAACACAAGGCATCTCTACAAAGTCAAGTGGTCCTCATCATCACCTTCTATGACACTTTGATGAGGGTTTGGGGTTTGTAGGGTTGAGGCGCTTCGGGTTTAGGGGTATACTAAACCCTCAGAGGTGTGATACGGGCTTGTCTTCCTCCGCCTGCATTTGAGCCCCAAGCTCTCGTCGGCGGCGGATGCGCTCACGCCAGACTTGCCGCCTGCCCAGAAGGCAGGCTCCCGGCCCCGTCAAAGCTCCCAACATCCCCCCAAACTGTCAGGCAAAAGATACCTCAAACTCGGATTAATGGAGAGACCTTATGCCCGAAGGACCGAAGATGATGAACATGCAACACATTTGAAGAGATGTGTCTCAGCGTTCTTTACTCTGTTCTGCCACCCTTGAACTAAACCCTTCAACCCTAAACCCTTAAAGCCCCAAATCCCCCCAAAGTCCTCAACCCAAGGTTGCCTCCCTGCCCGAAGGACTCGGATGCGGCAGTCTGCCTCATTTTCCTCCTTGTCCTGGGCACCGCTGCGTTCTCGACTGTGGTGCACTTCAGGGTTTAGGTGCTATTTTTAGCTTAGGTTTAGGGTTTCTTGAATTCTTTTTACTTCGGGACTCCATGGATTTTCCCGGGGCACAGCCGCTTTACTTTCAGCAGCCATGCCAAGAAAACAAACTCCCTTCTTGAATTCTCACACCCAGAATTTTATGGGGTTCAAAAAGCCTTGCTGTAGAGACTTTAGGGGGCTGCACCGCAGGAGCTGGCTCAGGTAGGCAGAAGGTCCCAATACTCCTTAAATAAGGAGTATCCTTAAATTATAGGGGCCTTAATCTTATGATTTGCGGTATATTCCTTAATTAAGGGGTATTGGGCTCTCTGGGGTCATGAGAGCATCTGGGGAATGCGGTGGCTTTAGGTCAGAACCTGGACGATCCTTCTGGCTTTAAGGTGGATTTTGTAGAGGATCGCTGCGCTTCGCTAGCTCTGAAACGCCAGAAACTAGAAAGCCCAAACGCTACAGTGCTTCCTGAAACCAAGATAATGTAGATACCTCGACAGGTTCGGGCATGCAGGTGTAGGATGCCGGCTCTTCATTCATCTGGTCGAGACATCCCTAGCATCCACCGCATGTGCGTCTTACAATACAAGTAAGCAAACTTGAAGCACTTTTTCAGCGTTCAGCACACCTTTGACGCCAGGCGCCGTGAAACCCACGACGGCGCATATGACCAGAGGACACATGTAGTTGTCCTTGGCGGGGGCTTTTGCCCAGATGTCTTGCACGCTGCAGACCAGAAACCTCAAGCATTTGCCAGAGAGAAGTCTGCCGCGCTTACCTTGATGTAGAAAGACCATGGCGTGAAGCTCCGTCGGGCAGCAGGATCGTCCACATTGGTCTCACGGTGAACACGTGCTGCGTCAGGGCCCGGAAGAGTATCCCGGCATATCCAGACTATGTCGTGGTGAAGGTGCTGGTGACAGTGGCTGTCACCGTCGTGGTGCTCGACTGGGTGGCTGTTGTCGTCGTTGAGAACCTTAGAGATGCGCATGCAATCTTCTACCCACCACACTTTTGTGCCGAAACGGCCGGCATGGGGTTTGCCCAAAGCTATGGAAGGGCTTGACTGGGTTTGCAGCTCATGCTGGGACGGCCCGTAAGTGAACAACCCGGGATCCGAGCAAGTCATCGACGAAAGCATTAAGCTATCATATTATCAATTATAGGGGCAAGCTGATCGGTGATAGGGTTGGGGAACGATATGTCATCGAGAGGCTAGGCCTACATCGACCCGTTGACGCTACGAAGCCTCACACAGCCCTCCCCGACCGATTCCGTTGACTTCGATCGGAGGCACACGTACAGCGTGGTAGTAGGCATGGGGCTGGAAACCTTGGTCAGGCGCTCTGGTGCGAATGGGTTATCTAGGGCTAGGGTTGACGCAAATGGGTAACCCTTGCTGGATCGGGCTTTGCCGCCGTCTTGGCCATGAACTTGTATTATACTATGCTGTAGAATGCCGTCCACCACTGCAACGTTGCTTTGGGTGTCCTAGGCACGTGGCTAGGAAGCAGTCCGTGGTCACGCGCAATAACCGTTGGAAGTCCTGCCTCTGGACTTAAAGCGCCTTGCATCTGGTGTGAAGCATGATAATTACGACTCTTGTGGTGAGCAGCAGGCACAGTCGGACGAAAAGGCCGATGCATACGGCCATGCAGCAAGTAGGGCGGCCTTCAACACTTTGTTACAACAGCAACGAGTGCCTTGTGGTGCGAGACTCACGAGACTACCATGCAGGAGCCTCTGCAAAGGGTCGGAGTCGCGGTTGACTCTCCAACTACGTATGTGTTTCGCCTTCTTCCTTTTGTGACACACGCGGCGATCCGCACCTGCTTGCTGAGTTGCAATCGGCTTGGAGTGTGCTGGTTGGTTGAGGGTCCCGGAAGGCAATCAGGTACTGGGCCCTAAACCCTAAACCCTAAACCCTAAAGCGTCAGCACCAAGCGGCTGGTAGTCCCCCGAAGTCAGCGGCGCTCGGCCCCGTCCTTCCCAAAGGTTTTTTTTTGTCTGGGAGAAGACTTATTCTGCATTGATACACTCATTCATACCTGCTCAAGCCATGGTAGCAGCAGCCACAGTTGTGTATACACGATTTTGTTTCGGCCATCGGAGCTTGCCACGACTTGGAAATCCGGAGTCCGAAGTTCGATGCAGTCCAGGGGTTGGGGTATTCGGATCCGGTGCAGGTGACGGAGTAAAGCACCATAAGTCTATAAGCTGGTCAGAAGTCTTCGAGCTCATCCTGTACTAGGATGATCCCGAGCCCATGTTTGATGGAAGGCTCTCCGACATGAGACAGGACAAGATTTCTGGAAAGACGAATGTCACGGTGAAGCCGGATCGAATCGAACATTACTTTCGAAAATACATGTTACATGGTTGGTTCCCAGCCAATGCTGACACATTGGGCCCGCCACACGAGCAGGTATGTCAATATGACACATCGGCATCCACGGCAACATACGACAAAGGCGTTCAGGCCGAAAAAGACCAAGCCTTGATCCTAGATCCCGCAAGCCTCAAAGTGGAGCCTAAACCCAAACAACCCTTGCGCCCTCAACGCTCAACTCTTGAAGAGGAAAAACCAGGGTAATCTGCAAATCCCTAACGCCGAAGCCCTCAAACCCCATTGCATATTCGGATATGATATAAATATTATATATATATATATATATACGTATATATATATATATATATACACACATAAATAAATAAATAAATAAATAAATATATATATATATATATATATATATCTAGAGCCCCGAAAAACTAACAACTCCTTGCCCCATAGTCCCCAAACCCTGTCCAAGGGAATGAGCCCCTTCCGAGGTAAGCCGGCGCAGCCGGCACGGCACTTGGGAGCAATGAAGACTCCTCGGCTCTTTGCTCTAAATCTCATACCTTAAGAACCCAAAACCCACTTTTTTGTAGGTTCTTATTATGAACCCTAATATGGGATTTATAGGGACCCTACAAAAAAGTAGGTTTGGGGTTCTTAAGGTAGGTCTCTAAGCGCCGCTTTCGGATTCATCTAGAGTTCAAGACTTCAGAGCTGTGCTGTGGGCATGTAACTCCAGTCCATAAGCTTTCGGCTACAGAACGGGTTCGAAAATAACAGGGGTCTTGGGCTATAGGGCTCTGCACTTGCTTTCCAGCAGATCCTTTGGGCATGAGGCCTTTTCCGACATTTGGTTCGGACTTCTGGGTGGTCATATAGGGGCCTAAGCAAATAGAATAAGGTTTTGGGAAATACTATACTATAACTTCTATAGTAAGGCACCCCAAAATTGTGCACCGATTCTGTTATTCGTGCAGGAAATTTCGTGCGTGCAGAGGGCGGTCCTTGTCATGTAGATTTCGACTCGCGCGCTCACAGATTTAGGGGCAAGCACAGCATTTGATTACGTTGAGGGCTTTAGGGCTTACGCTTGATGCCCTGTTCCCGGTACCAAACTGAGAAACCAAACCAAACCTGGCTTTAGGAAATTGAAAGTTGCCGGGTCCTGTCTGCAAAAGACACCATAATCCGAGGACGGGAATATATAAATGGTCCCAGAATCAAAGAAAATGATTTTGGCCCAGCTTGGGTCTGGAAGACTACTTACAATTGCGGCTGGATTTCGTCTCGCGACAACGTACAATATTTAAACAAAGTTATTTCCGGGTGTAAAGAAATTCAGAGCTGCAGCTTCTCTTCAATCTCTTTATCTGCATCCGGAGTTCCTCGCCGATTTCCAGTCTACAGGGGCAGAACCCGTTGCACTGCACTTCTGCGAGACGAATCTGCATCTGTCGCTGCAATCTTTGATTTTTGCTTGCCTGCTGCTTTCATAAAGAACCCTAACCCTCCAGGTACCTACTATATAGGGCCCTAGGGGCTCTAGTACCCTATATAGTAGGTACCTGGGGGGTTAGGGGAAGCAAGGCTGCTTTCTGAAGCAGGCATTGCCTTTCGGCAGAAGCAGAGGCCGGCTGCCGGAGCCAAGCTTCTTCCAAAAGCTGAGGCACTGAAGAGAGCTATATGGGTGGTTCTCTAAATTAGGGTCCCTTTTAGGGTCCTTTTTATAAGGGTGCCGTACTATATTGGGGACCCAAAAAGGGGACCCTAATTTGGAGAACTACCCATATAGGTTTCCTGACTAAAGGCATAATGGAAGGATGCTATTTTTCATTCCTTCCTGAGCTACCCCTTACGGGGCCTACCGGGCAGCAGCCCGAACCGGATTTGCAAATGGGACTAGATTTGTGGCAAGCCTATACATGGTTTTGTAATCGAGATTGAGTAGATTGCTATTAATTTTAAGAGCCCAAGGAGCCCGAATGGAGTTTTGTCCATACATCAACCATTTTCATGAATGCGGTTCCCGCCATCCTTATTCTGGAAGGGGGGGTGGCGGGGGCTGTACTATTTAGGTGCTAGTACTTTCAACGCCTGATACCTAAGCACCTCCATCAACACAAGTGTCGGGTTGAAGGGTTCAAAATTCAGGCTCGTAGCCACACCCCGGCTTTCCAGTACGTCAAGGTCCGTCTGGGTCACGCCGGCACCGTTGGAAAGCAACCTGACTTCGCAGATTTGGGGTGGTGACCCAGGTCGCGGACATAAGCTTTATAGATATGTCAAATCTGTTAAAATACCAGGAATCCCAGACAGCATGTTCTGCGACTGTAGCAAGCAACGTAATCAATTTAGAAATACGGGGCGATAGAAAAACAGAGTACGTGACCTCAGTCGACGTTGACAAGTTGCTTGTGGACTTGAACTACGGTCCCAAGTGGAGTCTCAGCTGCAGGAAATGGAGACATATGCACTACATTGTTCGAAGTACCTTAGCTGGGGCAAGTGTGGCTTTTCAGTCAAAGGCCTGCTCAGGAAATAACTATGCCGCAGACTTCGAATGATCATGCTCGTAACAGTTCATATATATATATATATAAATATTATATATTTACACATACATAATATATATATATATACACTGTATGCATATGTATATAAATAGTTAACAATATCAACATGAATACAAAAGATATGTGTGTATACAAGTGTATACATATAAATGTATGTATATATGTATGTATGTATGTATGCATGTATGTATGTATGTATGTATGTATGTACGTATGTATGTATGTCTGTATGTGTGTGTATGTACGTATGTATGTATGTATGTACGCATGTATGCATGCATGTATGTGTGCGTAGAAAGGTACACTGTGGAGGGGGATTGGCATGACATGTATGTGTAGATTCAAACATACATACATGTACCAGTTTCTGGTTTAGGGAATACTCTTTGGCAACTCTTAGGATGGTCTGTGTCAGTCGCAGAAGCTTTAAGCATGTGGGGAGGTGGGATGGATCAAGGGGGTTCTTTCCACGCAGGGCCAGCCTAGTCCCGCGAAAAACCCGACCCATACTTGGCAAAGACTTGCGATAGACAGTGTTGAGGTCCATCTAACAAAGATCCGATTATTTACGGTCCTTGCCCCGCTGTCCTAACTTCCGCAACTCCATGTGCAGGCAAGAAGCCAGTCCGACGCCGCGGTATTATTCAGCAACAGAGCCTGCAGGAGAAGAGCAGGCTGGCAGGATGCTATGAGTACCATCAAGACAAAGGCGTTCGCCCACCCAAATACACAATGGGAGCTCGGGACTCAGGCGGAAACTGAATGTTTGCTATCCAAGCTCTGTGTTTATCCAACCCAAACCAGGTTGCATCTAGTCTGCGGCATTGCACCGGTAACCGGGTAACCACATGCCAGACCTCAGCATCTGCAAAATCCGAAACCTCGAACAATTAATCCACGCACGCAGTGGCATGACAGCTGATGTCTAACCCGATTGACCATCAACACGATGCGGTAGTTGATCCTAGCTCGCTGGAAGCGGCCAGGTACTGCCTGCATGAGAGCGGTAAAGCCGTCGGCATCACGGGCTCCGTCGATTGTTGCACTGCTGGCACCACCGTACAGCTGCAGGACCTTGTGCAAGTCGGAACTCGCAAAAAAACAATCTGTAGCTAGAAATGTTGGGTCATGTCACCAACCCCTAAAAAAATCGACGAAGAATGCAAGCTACTCTTGCGCAGCAACGCAAGTGATGTCAAAACAGCATTGCCACACACCTCGCTTTTTGTGTGAGCAAAATCGCTGAAACTGCGTGCACCTGCACTGTGACTTGGTTATATCAAATCAGGTGGGCCAAACGCAGCGTAGACAACTGAGGCACAAAGGAACTCGATGTTACGACTAAATCTGGAGCGTTGTTGCGGCGCGGCAAATAGTTTTCGAGAGCTGCATTGACAAATGCGCAAAGCAAAACACGAGGAGCTCCATCCAGTCGCAGCGACGCTTTAATTGGGTTCTGAGATGCTTTACGTAAACTCTATGGGTTCCTGGAAAGACATGAAAAGTAGCAACTGCGAGTTCCAGGTAGCACTTATCGAACCGGCGTAAGGCCCGACCTGTTTAGAAGGCTTCATGTGGCTCCAGCTGGTGAACTGCCCTTGGGTTTGTTGGGCCGTGTTTCGCATGTGCTGATTCCCTTAACGTACGAAGCGAGCCACATGCGGCTTAGGTGCATCCAACAGAGGAATATCATCCAACATGGCCGCCTGCCATGAACACAATCAGAACGACTGTCTAGCTTTTGCTTCTTGTGGCTGCCTCTGGTACGACAATCCACGGAATACCATTGCCAGTACAACTGCGCGGAGATCAGTCTTGCTGTCATCCTGCTGTTGTACGTGACAGTTCTTGCGGTTCTGCAAGCCACAAGCTACATAGGCTTCCAGTTGCATCAAGGGCCTCGACAGTTGCCCAGGACTGCCATCTTCGAAATGCAACATTCCTGCTAGACAATAGTTACACTTCAAGAACGCACCCAATGCCGGCTGCGCAAATAGTTAATCGAGCTGACTGCGAAACCTCGTGAGAGACCGGATCGGTCTTTCCGAAAAGCAGACCCCGTGCTATTACTGTCTCCTGTCTCACTTGTCCTTGATTCGTGCTCAACCTCACGACCCCACAATTCAGGGAACTGAAACTGCATCAAATCAAGGCAGAGAGATTTGAAGTGTCAGGTGCAGCGAAACTGATTGCCCAAGCCTTGGTGCCACGCATACTTCGTCCTGCCTTGTGGAGCGGCGCACGCCCATTGTGGTCAATCATGGTCAAGTTTCCTGCAGCCTCCTGTTGATCATGTTGTTCAGCATCGCACACAACTCTGGTTCTTTTGACTGGCATGTCGACAAAGAATGCTCGTGGGTAGAGAAGGGAGAATAATATCCAAGAGCCACTTAAGAAACGATAATGACATTAGTTCGCTATGCAGCAGGCACCGGGGAAGATTGGGGAAGTTGTGGGAGTAGCCTAGGATGAGAAGGAGACGCAGGACGTGGAACCTCCGCAGCATAGAGGAGGAAACAGCAGTAGGCGGGGAGAGCCAGAGAGCAAACACATAGGATACGAAGCTGGGGGAAAGACACGATACAAACAGTGCTGGCTGTTGCTGCCTTTGCGCTGTGGTGTCGGTGGTCGTGCCCGTGGTGGCGACGAAGGAGGCGGTGGGAGCGGCACTACACATCTTGTCCAATTGGTGAGCTCAAGGCTGGGACGGCGAGGAAACAAATACAGGGTGGAAGCTGTGGCCTATCAAACGCAACAAGAAATACTGCGCATGAAAAGCACGAAGAAAGAAGCATGTGTGGGACTGCTGCTCCTGCTCTCCGCCTGTGAAGCATCGAGTCACTCACTGATACAGAACACCTGCAGCTAGCTCTTTGAAACAATGGGGCTGTCACCAGTCCCGAACACCAACAAGTCGAGTCAAATCTCTGTGATGCCGCGTCGTCGCATGTCCTCCTAATTGATTCCCCAAGCTACTAGAATCTCAGGGTTCAAATACAAGGGGTGCAATCAGCAGCTCATGACAACAGGAGCTCCTCTGCTGTGAGGTTGCTCAAGATCATGACGAGATCTGCGAGCGCCTCTGGAGCACGAACACTTACGCAACATGAATGCACTGAGCCTCCAAGTTAGGTGATCATGCGTTGCGGGGCCTTTGAACAAAGAACGTACGATTCTTGTACAGCAGCTTTTCTTTCGGCGATGAGGCAGGGCAAGAAAGTATGCACTCAAAACAGACTTTCATACCAAGTGGCTCAGACAAATGCCATACACAGAACTATACACAGAAACAATACAGAACTGTCTTTACACATCGCATGTGCACACCGTCCGGGCAGCAAAGCCCTGCTCAACAGACTACTGCACATGTGTTTGAGCAATGAGCATATATTCCGTGACGGAGGCGCATGTAAAACAAAAAAACGTATATGGTCATAAACATGTATACCATGCATAACACAAACATGCAAGCGCACGCATGCAATGCATGCACCACTGTCTTGATACATGCGAAAGCCTATACCGTGTGTACACCTTAGTTACCAATGCCGTGTATACTTTAACAAAAAAGTACCTTCTTACATATATGCATGTGCACATGCTTGTATATGTTCGTGCTGGACATACCTGAGGCAAGCGCTATGTACCTTCGCGTCTACACTCTAGGGATGCACATCAGGAGCGCATAGTATAGACAGTGGTACGCATGTGGTGCATTTACAGCTTGAGGGAGCTATTGCGCACAGAATTTGTGCAGAAATCGCCTGTTCTTCAGACATTGCGTGCTTTTGACAAACAACCCAACGGTTGGAGGTTGAGCCAGCCACTACGTCTTGGTAGTACGGTGGTGCAAACATCTACGATTCATACAAGGATCCCCCGATGTGCTGTTGTGTGGGTTTGGTCCGCGTCTCGTGCTTGGCTGCTGCAAACTGCAGCTGTCTAAGAGACTCGAAAGTTCCAAGTTTCACCCGTGATTCAGGGAACCCTTATGCGCTGCGAGCCTTTGCATATTATTCCCCGATGGCTGACTCCTGACCATACCTCTTCTACCCACCCCCTGCAACTCCCAAACCCAAAGTTCCCTAAACACCATCCTAGCTAGCCTTAATGATTAGAATAGGCTTTCAAGGTCTGTCATAGTACTCCAGAATGCAAATAAGGTTCTAGGGTATATCATAGCATCCCATCAGGACACGCAAGGAAAAATGTAGGGTAGTTGTTCCGGAGGCCGGTGAACCTCCTCCGAACTCTACACCAGGGGCCCGAAGGCCTCAGACCCTAGGCCCTACTGCAGGGGCCTTAAAAATTAGAATAGGGTTTTTGGGGGGTTCCTTATAATTATAATTATAGTATAATAGACCCTGAACCCTATTCTAATCATTAAGGACCCTATATGAAACCTCAAACTCCATGTCCGAACCTTAAAAGACACTCGCCCAAACCTCCAAATCTGTCACAGGCCAATCTGAGTGTCGGGAGGCAGAATAAACCGCTCTAATAAGCCCGCACCCCGAACCTGCCTTCTATATTTCCTGAACCCTAAACCTATTTTCTAAACCCGAATCCAGAAACCCTAAACCTAGTAGCTGATCCCCTTTTTAGAGCTGGGCTCTGAGTGCCTAATCCCTATAAGCCCTAAACAGGGTTTCGACTCTCACTCTCGCACGCAGCAGACTTAGAGGTTTGGGGTTTAGCGCCCTAGAAAGGTTTACGCTCTCGCAACTCGGACTCCGCCCTAGAAGGGTTTAGGGTTTAGGGTTTTTAGGGTTTAGGGAGAACCCTAAACCCTAAAAACCCTAAACCCTAAAGCCCAAACCCTAAAAACCCTCAACCCTAAACCCTAAAGCCCTCAACCCTGGACCCTAAACCCTAAAACCCTTAACCATTGGCTTCCTGATCGCGAAGGGCATCCCCACGAGGTCCCCGAAGGTCGATGAGCTGCCTCGCCGGTAGAGCTTCTGTAACATAGTTAAAGGAAACTACAAGTTGGGAGTTAAGGGTATATATATATATAAGTAAGGGTTTAGGGTTTAGTGGTTTAGGGTTTAGGGGGTTGAGATAAAAGAAAACTACAGGTGGGGAGTTTAGGGTATAGAGGGCTTCTATAAGGCTTCCATAAGGTATATAGACCTTCTGTAAGGCTCTTATAACGGTAACTACCTATCTGAATATGTCCTAGAGACAGCGGCCTTAATAATCAGAATAAGGCTGCTTGAAAGGCGTCCTAAGGGTGCTTTTAACCTTTGCCTCCCACCTAGAAAGGACGAGCCCGCGTTGCAGGGTTGAGTAAAACTACAAGGGGTTCTATAAGAAAAGGCCTTAATAATCAAAGTAGGGTTTGGGGTATATCACGGTATATTATACTATATGGATAATAAGGAACCCCAAAATAGCACAAGTAGTGCTAATCATTTGGGCTCCTGTATCAGGCTTTCGGGCTTGCTGCGTCCGGGAAGTCGAGCCTCGGACGCAGAGTCCGGACAAAGGGAAACAAGGGGTTCTATGAGGGGTTACTATACTTGGAGGTTCATGGGTAGTTATAAGTGGAGTTATAAGTCCCCTAATATGGGTTATAATTACAGTTACCCTACTTATGACTACCCATGAACCTCCAAGTAGAGGCTTCTATTGAAGGCTGAAGGGGTCCTTTAAGCGCGTCTTGTGAGGCTCCATCAACTGAAAGGAAAAAGCCTCCATCAAAGGCAGCTCTACCATCTCCTCTCCAGAGGCTATGATCCACACACTCACCTTTAGTGTAAGCTGCCCCAGGCAGCTGCTTACCCCAAAACCTACCTAGCTCTCGACCAAGTCATCTAAAATACCCTGTAGAACACCTTGTAGAATCACCCCTTTATCAAATACCTGATTGGGGTCAGCTGCCCGGCAGATAGCGACAAGGCACTCGACGCGCACTGCAGTAGCAGTCCTGGCAAGGTGGGCGGCTAGGTCTATAGTCTTTAAGTTGTAGAGTTTAGATTTATTTTTAGGGTTTAAGACTCCGGGTTCGGGCTCCTAAATCCCACGTCGCAAAGCCTGGGTTGAGTGTGAGAGGCTTCAAGGAAAGCTAGGTTAAGGGTACTCCTTATCTTGTTTTCAGCAGCTGGCCAGACCGACGTGCGTTACCCAGAAGATAAACTTCGGCCAGTCAGGCGACTTAGTCAGGGAACACTCCCTAAAGCTCCATGGTCACATATATAGTATATAATTCTAAGCCTTGCATGAAGGGTTTCCTAAATAGGCATTTTGGGCACGTGGAGCCTTGCAGGGCAATGTAAACCAACCGTCGTAACGGTACCTTCATGAGTATTGAAGAAAGTTTTGGGTGTGTTAGATAGAAGGCATGGTCACGTGCCACCCCGATCATGTCCTGTCTGGCACCCGGCCGTCGCCAGCTGTGTGGCAGTAGCTTTGGCGCTCGAACTGGTAGGGGCAGTTCTCCACGCAGCCGGTGATGTTCGGGAAGGAAAAATGAATCGTCGTGTTGTCCTGCAGCTGGGCACAGGACTCCGAACTTTCGTGGGTGTTCGCAACCTTTGTCCCTGTGTGGAGTAGAGGCAGTAGAGCATATGGCCGATTCGGCTATGGCACCCGCTGACTTTGTATAATATGGTCTTAGCAAGGGTCGCTACTCATTTTGGACTCTCTTCTCTGGCAGGATCCCGACCACGGGGACAAAGCAATACACCAAGACGGCAACCGCAGCTGGACCAAACGTCGTGGGTTTACGCAGATAAGACTCGTGGCCTCAGAAACCCAAGTTGCGCTGCACTGTAGAAGGCGCTAGACACCAGGAAGCCCTTTTGCATCCGGGCTTGTGAAGTCAGCCGGGGAAGGTGACAGGCAGCAACGGAATCGCGCCAAACTGCAGCACTACTGGCTACAGTTCAAGATCTTACGATGCCAATGCTGACTGACGATTTCAACAGTAAGTACAATGTGAAATTCCTCCAATAGAAGAAGATGCATAGTTTGCAAAGAGGATAGCAGAACATCATGACACTCATCAGTGACCGTGAAGACAATGGCAAAGACAGGTCGCAGCATCCTGAAGTGCGTCAGGAAATGCCAGAGACTACCCAGGAAGTTATCCTGAAGACGCCACGTCTGCATGCCCTCCACAACATCAAGAAAAATCAGCACATGAGGAGATGCTATGTGTACAGTAGCAGCCCAATCGACATGAGGGTTCAACATGGCACGCCAGCTTTCCCACGTGACATCCCTGTGAATGGGATGTCGTTCGATCTCATGAACTTGCTTGAAATATCGAAGAGCACTGTCGCGCCACGTCTGCTTGTTGGAGGCTCGTGGGGAAACAGTACTAAGGAATTCGTCAGGAGGAAGTTCTGATGCTAAGTCGGGGAATATCTGCAGGCACTGCTGGCGAAACCAACTCCAGGTAGTATTGTAGGGACCTCCCACCGCTCGCTTGGCAGACATAAAGCGCTGAAAGACTTTAGCAGCTGCATGATCGGAAGGACGCCGCAACAAGTGGCCCAGGTACGTCCAGAGACGAGTTCGCCAAGAAAACTTCCAAGACAATTCGGGAAAGCCATCAAGCCACAAGATGGCGACACGTCTCCTAAGCCTGTGCAAGGACATCGCAACAGCCTTGGGGCAGGAATCAGGGATATAAAGATCTAAAGCAATCGTCGTCATTGTGGTGTGCATCTGATGAACATCTCGGACAGAGGCCGTTGAGGGGACCAACAGTGGCGAAAACCAAAGCCAAGTAGAACCAACATACTGCCTCAACAATCCCATGGTAACTGCAGGTTGATGCCAACGCAAGCCCCGAAGAATACCTTTCATACCCAGATGTGCAGAGTGGGCAAGCTGATGCACAGAAGGGAGAAGTAGGGTGGCGATGGACTCCGATGGTTCATGATGGCGAAGAGGCTTGCGAAGATAGGTGGTGCACGTCGTCCACGGGCATTGATTGAGCAAGCCTGGTTTCCATTCCAGCAGTCTTCCTTCCTGAAGCTTGGTGTCATGGGACATGATCTCAGTTTTTGCAGGATTGAAAACCAGACCCACAGTGGCCAAGGCTGCCTCGAGCTGCGGAACAAGCTTTCTGGCTTGCTCCCAGGTGCTGAAACAGAGCAGCAAATCATCCACATACAACCATGCATCAAGATCCTCTCCATCTTGCTTCCACGTATGTAGTATAGAATGAAGAACCGTTCCAAGAATAAAACTGAAGACCAATGATGAATGTGAATGTCCCTGTTGAACACCCTGCAACTGTTGTAAAGTCCAGTGCTCCCCCTGAAAAGAAAAGTGCAACTTTGGGTTCAGGATCACCCTCAGGAGCTGAAGTGCCTCACGTGAGTGCTCATGTGGAGTGTGCTTAGCTACGAATTCTGCGACAGCTCGATGGGATAAGTAGTCAAAGGCGCTCTGGACATCGGCATTCAAGTATATTCTGTAGATGCGCGATGAACTTTCCTGCTGAACTTGGAAATGAGCTGCCGTAAGGGGGTCAAGAACTTGCGAACCGGGGAGGCCGCCCAACTGGCAGGGAGGTCGGGGCCAATGTTTCTGCAAGCGCTGTGCGATCAAAAAGCAATACATCTTGTGTACCGTCTCCACCAAGTTGATTGGTCGGAGCTGCTGGGCGGAAGCGACATGCGCGACTTTGGGGACGGGGGTGACGAATGAGTCATGAAGCTCCGGCGGGGCATCGTCTTCGGAAAGAAGGGAATTCAGGAAACTCATAACAACTCACTGTCCAGTTGCATCCGCCCATAAAGCAAGCATGAGCTCAGCAGATACTCCAGACATACCAGAGACCCTACCAGTTTTCAGGCGAAATACTGCAGTGCTGACCTCATCATGCGTGAAGGGGTTGCAAGTGTTACGATCTGATAAACACTGTAATTCCTGCAGTAAGGACTCAACTCGGTGGACATCATCATCCCGGGTGTCTGGCACAAACAAGTCCGGAAAGCGAGTGCGAACAGCATCCGCAGCTTCCTTGGGGGAACCTGCAGTCCGAAGCAGTGGCCCATAGTCGCCGTACTGTTTCTGTCTCTGTCGGAGATAACGAATGGCTTGAGGATCACCCTCAGTGGCCCTGCTTTCCAGTTGCCTAAGCCACTCCATGCGGGCAGCCGCTCGTTTAGCGAGGATTGTTTTGGTAAGCATGTGTATCCGCTCATGGTCAACAGCTTCCCGTCTGAGCTTGCAAAGCTGCTTTACTTCAGGAGGGTCTCTGTATTTCTGAGTGGGGGTGCGGTAACAGACTGTACGCTGGATATCTTTGAGCAGCTCCCACTGTCCATGCACATTCAGCCCATCGGGCGATACAGAGGAGAGGCATGACCGCAACGCCGACGCATTGACATTCCACCGGGCACAGCGCTTCTTGTGTGTAGTTCGCCGTCTCTTTCTCGTGCAATTGCTAGTAACGAAAGCGAGGGTCAAAGAAATGCTGTCATGATCACTGCCCATGTCCTCACGGGAACCGTTAATGACCTCAAGGCACCTCGACGGGGGCTGTGATGCAGTAGACTCGCTGGTATTCCGACTGATGTAAGCATAATCAAGCTCTGCGGCGGTGTAGCGTCCGAAACGTGTGGGTTGTCCAGCTCGACAAGGAGTGAAACCAGCTGCACGGAATACCCCGTCCAAGGACACAACTCGCGCGCTGCAGGGCTCTACATTAAAATCACCAATGAATATTGTATGATCACCACGGTGTTTGTTGCAAAGCCTACGAATCTCATGCACTGACTGTTGGAATATATCATCTGTGTTGTGACTGTGCGGAAAATGAACTGAGAATACCCATCGTTGAAGACTAGAAGACGAAGAAGCAAACCTGACCCCTATCACCCTCTCCCCTCGGTAAGTCTCAGTGACATACTCAACACCATCCTTGGAGAGAAGGATCACTTGGCCAAGATGTGACTCCAGTTCGTTTGTACCGAAAATGAAGTAATCTTCAAGTTCACCGTCATGGACAATGTACTCGTGAAGATTGTGTTCAGAGCTGGAAGCATGAAGGGGTGTAAGGCCACCAATACCACCTACCTCTTGGAGGGTGATGATATCTGCACATGGGGTGGTGACTTCAATCCACTCGCCAACGGTTTGCAAAGTCTTACCCTGAACATTCCATGCATTAACAACGAGGAATTCAGCAGCAGTAGTCGGCTTCAAAGATCAGGCAGACTCATGAAGTCTGCATTCGACATCTGCGGGGGAAGCATTCGTGATGGATGAGAGCACCGTCACATTGAAGTGGTATCTGGAGCCGCCTCCCGACTTTTCGGCAGCATCCGCGAAGAACACCGAGATCAGCCTATCACCGGCGGTGGCAGCTAAGAGGTCCGGTGCACCTGCAGCCACACGTTTGCCATCCACCCAAATGATCTGACGTTGCCAAGCATACTCGATTGTAGGTTGCTGGTCTCGTGGAAACAAGCGTTGAATAGCCTCACCTGCCTTATTTGTGGTGCGGTTCATCAGCCTGCGTTGTGGTGTGCGGCTTGGGGCTATCCAGATAGGAGTCCCTGCATGGCTCATGATCTTGTTGGAAAATTTCTCCTGGATCTCATAGAATCGGGTCTGCGCCTGCACGAAGTCCAAACCTGTAAGAAACACATGTGCTGCGCGCGCACGTTTCCCATATATGATGTGCTTCTCTACCATGCGGTCGTAGGGGCTATGGAATGTCGCAAGGAGCTTGTCCAGATCTGACTGTATGATCGCCCTAGGGCTATCGAACTCCCAGCCTCCGATGATCAGATGGGAAAAGTCAGTGTCGTTGTTTGACATAGGAGCACCATAATCCATTAGAGCAACGCTCTGTGGGAACGCACTGCCATTCCCTTGATGTGAATGTGAGGCCACTGCCGCACTGTTATTACGCTCTGCCTTCCATCCCGCCCATGGGTCAAAGGTAGCGTCACGCTGCTGTGCTGAAACATCGGCCTGTCGCTGTGCACCACTGGAGGAGGAGGAGGCCTTCACCAATGCAGCGAGTTCATCAACCCGAAGAGATAGTGCCTTGTACTTTTCATCTTTTGTGGGATCGTGTAACAGTTTCTCGACACAACACAGTCTGTCTTCAATACCCCCAACATGCTGAGTGAGGATGCCGATGTTTGACTCAACAGAATTCTGTAGAGCAATAGCCCAAGAGGGTGCGGGATCACTACGCGGCGTTTCCTGTTCCCTCAACAGTCGGTCGAGTTTAAGGTTGGCATCCTCATCATCGTGCTCTTCATCGAACTCGTTGTTCCTCTTAGGCTTCTTCGGAGGACTCTCCTCACGAGGTGGAGACGCCCTGACTAAAGCCTGGGAGTTCATGGCGTGAATAACACTAGTCAGATCCTGAACTTGAAGCCGAAAAACCTTGAGCCAAAATGGCCAGAAGCCCTAAACCTGAGACACTGCTTCTGACAGCAAGCCCTCCTACTCCCAGGCCTCCGGGCATGACTCCGGACCGCTGCTGCCTCCCAAAAAAGGCCAAAAAGAAATCTTAAGGGGTAACTGATGGGATCTTAAGGCGTCTCATGGGGTGCTTCTTGCATGAACATGTTAGGGCCTCTCTGGGGTTAGCGGGTTGTTTCCGTGCAACATCCTCTAGACTCTATCCTAAATCGCTCGAAAAACTAACTATTTACCACCAAACGAAGCAGTTCACCTGATACAAGGCAATGTGCAAAGCCGCGGCGCAGCCCTGGCAAGGCCTGCCACAGAACTGCCATCAGGCTCGCGCGACACGGACGATTGTGCAAAGTCCTTCCGGCGGCCGATGGTATTGGGCTTAGGGGTTTAGGGTTTAGGTTGAGTCTTTGTAGCTGCGATGCTTTGTCAGTGGTGTCGGTTTGAATCATGTGTAAATGCAGCACTTGAAGCGCATTCTCGTGGCATATTACTAGCTCATGTCAAGGGAACCAAAGTAACAGCCCCCTGTGCCAACAGGGGGTCCGTGCTGAGAAGCATGTCGTCAAAAGAACCAGGGCTGAAAGCTCGAAGGCCTAATGGCCTAATACAGCAACAACCCAACGCGAAACTTGTGTAGCGATGGTTCAGATTTCACAACCCTCTGATGTGGCGGTGTACACGTAATCTAAACATACAGATCTATATATATATATATATATATATATATATTTTTTTTAGCACTCACACTATATATATATATATACACACACACATATAAATGATTACACATCTCGTCGTGGTGAACAAAAAATGTGGAAGGGGACATCTAGCTTTAGAAGTGCCCGGTTGTGGGCAACCAGGTCGCGGCCTCCCTTCGCACTTTCGCACGCCCTGCGCCCACTTTTCCCGCTACAGGTATTCTACACCTCCGAATGGAAATTTTCCAAGGGCTTCAATCCACGGATTATACAGGATGAAGCAGCCCATCGCCAAACCCAACTAAAGCAGCATCCACAACTAATCCTCCCCACCCCGTGGCGACAGCACGCATCTTTGGAGGGAGAGGGCTCCTACTTGACGCGGAAACAGGTGCGCTGTCCGTACATGTAACTTCAAGACAGCCCTGCATATACAAACTCAGTCCCCGTATGCATCCCTGACGTATAAACTCCCAAAACCCTGCCTCTAAACCCTAGGCCCTGAAA